AAAATGGCAATATCAATATAACATGATAAAAGTAAATGATGGGAACTTCTATTCGAGACATCTTAAAATTCCTGGATGCGTGGCTATTGATGTCCGACCCTGTTTTAAGAAATTCTACCCTAAAGCCGAAAAAAGTAGTCTCTCATATTACTTAAGGGAGTGTAATCTTGACAACAAAGTAGATTTACCTATTCATCGCATGAACAAATATTATGAAAGGGCATTAAAAGAAACTAATATCACAACGGCTGAGCATATGCGTGAAGTGGCCAAATACTGCATTATCAATGCTCTTAGCTATCAGCGGTTAATGGTCAAGCGTAATGTAATCAATGAATATAGGAGGTTGTGAGTATAGCATTTATATTATTATTTGATACGCATTATTTTGCAATAGGAATGAAAGTGCGTAATTTTTTAAGTGCCGGTGTGTGGCAGAAAGGAATATTAACCAGTACAATTCCATGTGAATAAATAATAACAGGAAAATACCCTGGAGTCTATGTTTTCCCACTGGTAAAGGATCTCGAAAATAGATGACCTGTAACTGGCTTAGACTTTGCATCATTATATCCAAGCCTTATCATGACATATAATCTCTCACCTGATAAAATTATTTTATCTCGAGAGCGTGCTGAATCTCTAAAGAAAAGTGGTAAAAGGCTTCATGAAATCAATTTCAAATATAATGGTCGGGATGTTCTCGCATGGTCTATAGAGCATGAAAACCAAGCTGAAATGAAAGGCCTTTATCCAAAAGTATTAGAGGAGTTGCTTATTAAACGAAATTCTCTAAAAAGACGTCTTGCTCCATTAAATGATAGAAAAGAAGAATTAGAAAAGGAAATTAGTTTGGCAGAAGCAAGGGGCGAGAACGTTACAGATGCTTTAAAATCTGAATACTCTTCAGTTTCCTTTATTGACGCCTGTCTAGATGCAAAATCATTCGCTTTAAAAGTGTATATGAATACATTTTACAGTGAAGCCGGAAATAGCAGGTCTCCTTTCTTCTTACGAGCATTAGCAGATGGGGTAACATCAGCTGGTCATCGAAATATTAAGCTTATTGCCGATCTTGTCAGAAGTAAAGGTTCAGTGTAAAATACGGGGATACAGATTCCTTATACCTTGTATATTCAGAAGAATGTTTTCAGAAATGTGATGAGGCATATGACAATGGTATGGGATCTCGAAAGAAGAATATTGGTCTAAAATGGTGAACATCTTTATAGAAGTAATAGAAAGACTTCGTGATAAAGTTAATAACTTTCTCAGAAATGATAATGAATCATCTTATCTCAAAATGGCGTATGAGGAAGTCTTATTTCTAGTAGTATTTACTGGAAAGAAAAAATACTACAGCATCGCACATAGAAGAGAACCTAACTTTAATAATAAGCTTTTCATTCAAGGGGTTGAGATTGTAAAGCGAGGACAGTCTAAATACTTTCGTGAGATAGGTAAGAAGGTCATGGATAAATCTATGAGACTGGATAATACTCGCATCTTGCATCGGATTGTGGAAGATGTGCTCAAAGAGACCATAAATGGTATTTTACAGATAAATTTTAATGAAGTGGTTAAAACTGCTGTATGGAGGCCCAATAAAAATAACAAGAGTATCCAGCATTTCATTTCACGAATGCGAGATAGACACACCCATGAAGGAGCGAACGCTAAACGACGCATAAAAAAGGGCCTAATACCTGAGCCTTATCTTTATGAAATTCCAGAACCAGGTGAGCGTTTTGAGTATATTGTAGTTGAAAATGATTCTTCACAGAAGGTGGGGGATAAAATGGAGTATCCAGAGGTAGTGAGGCGATTAGGTAAAAAGATCGATATTAGCTATTATCTGAAAACCGTTGTCGGTCTTTGTGCACGATTTATTAACTATGATGAAATATTCCAGCCATCATCCGAAATTGTGCTGGAGGCCTTAAAAAAGTTAAAAGATGGTAATAAAGTGGGTGACAATGAAGAGGATGACACGAATGAAGATGACTTGGATAAAAATGAAGAGGATGAAGACGAAATAGATGAAGATGAAATATCAAAAATAAGAGATTCCTTAGCACAAAAATCAGCTGAAAAGTGGGTTAGAGGTTATATCAAAAACCTTCATGAAGGCCCGAAAAAAGATGAAGCCATCATATCTAATCTATGGAAAGGAGCCCGTATTTATGCGAAAAAATTATTTGATACTACTTATGCTAACAAGGGAGAACATCTGACAAACAATAATTATTACCAATCCTTCTTCAATATGCTAGATAAGCAAGAAGAATCCATCTGCTTAAAGCTAACAACATTACTCGCAGAAATTTCTAAGATCAATGATGGCTATAGAGATGGAATGTATAAATTAGTTACTAAGGTCAGTAAGCGCAGATCGAAAGCCATGTCCTTAGAAAGATACATATTATCATATAATCTGGAAAATGGATATGATTTACTAATTGATTTGCAAAATATATGGTATAGGATAGTTGGTCTAGAAATTTCACGCTATGTAACGTTATCAAGGTTACAGGATGATAAAAAAGATAATTCGTCTGAAGCAGATATAGACGAGATCATCAAATTATATGGTTAAGTACTCTTAGCGAGGTCTGGGAATTCCAGCTAAGAAAACTTAATATTATTTACATATTTTTTCTTCCTTCGGTCATGCAATAATACCAGCTAACTTCAATACCTATCTTCGAACTTCCAGCCTAGGATGATCACTACAAACTTCTGGCCTCCGATCATACAGTCTGGCCTCAGAAATGCCTGGAGATGATTTGGGATGATCATTAGTATTTTCACAAATCTACATATTTTAAAGATAAGCT